CGCTGTCCCCAAAGGTTTTGTACACTCCCCTGACAATCACTTGCGCGTAGTTTCCGGTCATTTTGTGACATTTGCCGGTGTGTGCTGACACCAAGTTTACTAAAAAGCAATAAACCTTGATCTCTAGCTGTGCCACTAAGAAGCTTGGTCGTTTCGGAATTGAAAAATGGTGAATAACAGTTCAGGCACTGAAAACATTTTACGTGATATAGTGTGAAACCCAATCACATGCATATCAAAAGATCCATACGTCACAGGCCTTGTTTAATTTGTATGAAACGTTGCGTCACGTCCCTGCCGAAAATAGAGGTTTTGGCTCTATTATTACTTGTTTTGAGGAACACACGAACCTGCTATCCTTTGCGCTCACCTCAGAGCTTTGACAAACATAATAGCCAGGATATCTAGCCCTTTCATAAGACGAAATTAGCCATTTGAAAACTCAATGTGGCTAGTATAACTTTTAGCCACCAGGTGTCATGTGGTCAACTACGAGAAAAGGTTCGAGCACTGCGCTTGTTATACTTTTTGTCTGTCTTCTGGTGACTGTAGGCCTTTGGCTATAATGCTGATGGTGCCCTACTAATATTGTCTTTTTTGGTCCATTATTTGACATATCATTCATTTTCATGATTAGGTTAATCCTGTAATACCCATTATGTAGCGCACATGTTGCCGACATTGTCCTGTCTAACATATTGCACCTACTTTGAGGACGCTACTGTAAGGTTGCTTCGGATCTCGTAGATGTTTCTCCGTAAACCAAAAATGCCACACTTGGATATTTCCTGATGTCTCATCAACCTTCTCTCATACCCTAATAAATCGTCACGTATGATTCATTCAGTAAACAAACTTTCCTCGGATATTTACTTGAAAACATTTATGAAGCCCTACGGTCATGACTTTTGATCTAAATATCTTTCACTTTTGTGAGACAAAAATAACCAAAAATGCATAACATTGGAGTCCCTGTTTTTATAGCCGTATTTTGTAGTATTGACTCAGTATCCCCCAAGGTCGTAAATTTCAGACTCCATAACTTTCGTTGACAACCGGCTTTTTGACAGATGAGCTATCTTTTTTAAATACCTGTTGCTCTAATTCACAAATCTCTATGTGTGCTTAGATTAGCACATTTATTATTGCTCCGGAATGTTTAGACTTTTATCCATTAGGTGAAAGTTGATTTTACCATACATTCTAATCCCCCATTCTGTTCACTCGTCTGTTGGTTACCATCCAAGTGTGCAATAGACAAGTCGAATGTCTGTAAGCTTTCTCCTTTTATACCTACCTATTTGCCAGTATCACTAGCTGTATTGCAGCTAAATTATCCGAACTACAGTTCAAATTTAATCGTCCGGTACCCGTCACGCACCCCTGACACGGCGCGCGGCTTAGCATAGGCTCGATTTACTTTTTATGATAGGCAACTGATCGGTTCTTGAGCATCCTATTTTTAAGTGGGAACACTTGAGACTTTCTAATTGACATCAAGCTCGTCGTTGATACTCTAGTCCCGAAAATTACAAGAACAAGCCCTGTGGAAAAAACTATCACAAAGGGACGGTGACTAGGTAACATACTATATGAAAAAAGGGCAAAAATTGATTTAGGAAGCCAATGTTTGCTTAAAAATAAAATGTTTAATCTGAGTGTGTCATAAAGAGTCCCATGTTATGGGCATTTTGGTACGTCAGACACACCGCTCTAAGAAGCATGCTTGGAAGCGACCGTATTTGTAAGTTTGCGACAAGCGATCACGATCTTGTAAGCAGTTAAGTATGCATACTAAAAAAGCGCGCACTATAAGTCACCAAATTCCTCCCTATGGTTTTGTAAGTATGACCTACAAAGGCACTTTTTTCAAAATAAAAAAGTATTATTTCACAAATACATAACGTATGGCCCTGGATGTGCACCATGTATCAGTAGTAACGTTCTTTGCACCTGATATTTCCTTTGATAGCCCGGTTTTGTTCCTTTGGTGACGATGCATGGCTAAAATTCGTTTCATTTTTTAGTCATGCTCATGATGTGGTGGCCAATGTTGGTTACATGTTTCCGTGTGGTTTGATTAAGATTTCAGTAGTGATTAAATCATTTATTGTTGTGTTAACAATTACTTTTAATTACTTTTAATCTGCGGATGAAGTAATCCTCGATTTTTCTCTGCTCAAGACTTCCCACAGGCAAACTCTATGCGGACCGTGAACCCATTCGTTTGGTTTCGAATTTAGTCAAATCAATCTCTCTATCTTTTTGTTGATGATTTATGCATCTACTTTTCCCGTCGTTCTCCTTTTTTGTAGTCGGATACTACTACAAATAGTCCAATAACTTCCACACAATAGCTTTTCTATCTGTTTGTTGAATACACACTTGGCTTTTACCGGTTTTAAATTGTGTCAGATTCCGTGCCACAATTCCGCTAGATATTCCGTTTGAAAACACAAATTGCGTAGTGAGGCACTTTTCTCGTACAAACAATAAACGTAAGATTTGCACGACGCTTAGAATACATCATTGCAGCTCCGGAATCGCGCACATGCTTTGTTGCAAAGCAAGTAACTATGAACTTATACAGGCTGAAGCGAACAGATACGAGTCATGATTCATTATTTCCGTGGAGAAAAAATTCCTTATTTATTTTTATACTTTATGGTAACAGATCTCCAAGTTGTGAGCCCTTGCTCTCATCAATTCTTCAGTGGCAGTCGTTGCCAATTGCTGACTGAGAATATACTTTATTCTTCCACTAACTTCTGCTTGGAATCTGCGCAACTCCACAATGCCTCTCAAAAGTCGGCAAAAAAGAAACCCTATACCGCTTCATCGAACTTGAAGGTTGCACTTGTAAGCCGCAAGTGTTAGTTGGGTACGGAAATTATGCAGAACATCTGGGTGTCCTTTGTTTTTTACTAATGTGAAATCAAAATTGATTTCCCTCCCCTGTGTCCTCATTCCCACCCAACGTGGTTCAGGCATCAGCAGCTTTGTATATACGACTTTCTGTTTACACATGCAGTTATTTGTCCATTCTGCAGCAGTATCAGTTCTAAGGCTTGCAGCTCGCCCCTGGTGGATGAGTAATACGTCGGTTGTTTATGTTTACTCGCCACTTGAATAGATATGACGTTCAGCGAAAACACTGGCGTTGGACTCTGCATATTGAAGGATATAATAAAAATCGAAATGTATTTTATTTCTTTTACCCACACCAGTGCTTTACAAGCGTTGGTATTGTCCGTTTGATACAACTACTAGATTACATGTCGACTGCACCAATAAGATGAAGATAGATTTCGGTGCCGCATACTTCCGTTTTGCTAACTGTATTGCTCACCATAAATCTCGGATGTTTCAGCTTTAGCTAGCAGTTACTCGTCGAATAGTGGGATCTTCGGTAAAGGTTGAAAAATAGAGAACTGATATGGATTGTGAGTATCAGTAGATCGAGGTATTTCCAGTGCGAGGTGCCACGGATAGCTTCCTTTGCCCGTTGATAAATGCCCTGGGTCCTCACCTAAAACGAATTCTGATAAAAGATTTTGCATTTGCCCGCTACTCGTTTTGAATCTTCAATTGCTTTTTAAAGCTCTTGTTGGGGAAAAGCGCGTACTTAATCCCAGAGACTCCTTGTAAGCAAGTCATAGTTATGGCGCTTTAGTTTTCGTATCTGAGGTTATTCAATTCTTAACGTACACCCACTCTATGATATCATCACAGTGGTCTTATTTTGCTCATCGATGAGGAGAATGTTCAATTAATAATATCGTTACTGTTTGTTCCAGGGCACATTTCATCTATATGTGCGTCTGAAACGTATACCGTTTTATAATGAACATCGCCTCAGTCTATGGTATCATAAGGTGGCATATTCTGCTGCATTCCGTGATTAGGTTGTCATCGTGAAACACTAGTGTGCCAAGTAATTCCAAGTACTTGCCTTAAAAAGGTTCCATGGAAAATTAATAGAAGATGTGGAGTGCAATCTCGTATTGAATAATTACAAGAAGTAAACTCACACAAATTCATGATGCGTATCTCGCTGTGCCTGCACTTTGCTAGTGACTGGTTCGAAATGCCTCTCGCGAGAAAGTAATGTGGTCTTTATTAAGGCGCTAGAAAGAGCCCAAGGTCATCCATGTGTTCAGTTCACTTTGCGGACTCACGGATTCACCTATTGATACACAGGATCGAGGCTTTCGCTCAGGTTTCCCAGTTCGGTTTTGTTCTGGCCGTTCAGCAGCTGTCGTTCATCTGAGAGGCGCAAGCGAGAAAATGGTGTACTGCTCTTTACGTTCTCAGCGCAGAGCAGTATGCTTGCCAGCGCGGGGACTCGCATAAATGTGTTTAATAGTGATTGGAACTGGGTTCTGGAAGGAGCGTGGACGACCGTCGTAGGAAGGTTGCTCCACGCAGCTACTACATGAAATGAGAAAGGATTTTGCCCATTGCAAATCCGCGCTCTGAGCTTGAAAATCTTCTCATCATGTCCCTACCGTTGATCAACCGTGAAAAACAGTTGGCCAAATCTTGTTCAATCTGGGCGCAAGTAAGAACTGAGTCCCCTCGGAGGGGACACACTTCCAGGGCGCCACGACACGCGTTTCGCAGTCCATGGATTTAAGGCGGGCAACCATTTCGTGGCGGCTCGCCGGACACGCCCACTCAGGGTTGTCTTTCGTTCGTCCTGAGGAGACAACAGTTGGCATATTCAGGAGCCGGTCTGAGGTAGGCCCCAGAGAACATTTTGAAGTGCGTGCGAGTAATGCGGGTGGAATGTGCTCCGAATCATCCGCAGAACGGCGATGCCCTTTGGGCCGTTTCCCTTTGATCCAGTGAGAATTATATGCTTGAAGTGAGCCAGATAACCGAACCCTTTCTGGCATCTGTCCTGGTGAGGTATTCTGGTCCTTTCTCACAATGCATGACAAAGCATTCAGTGGGACTCCTCAAGATGACGTTTTTCCTCGACACTTTTTGTTAGTCAGAGGAAGGTGACTGTCCAAGGAACACTGCTTTGCAGCGTCTACACCCGGTTGGAGGGCGTTGGCGTTGGATCTCCAAGATTTCATGTCGTCCGCAAAAGTGGACACGGACTGGTAAGAACATTTGGAAGGTCGTTGACGTAAATCAGAAACAGCGGTAGTGCCAGAACGAAGCCTTGAGAAACTCCAAAGAAGACTGTCGCTGAAGGATATTAGGTCTAACCTGGTTACAGTCGGAATGATATGTCTGATGGGAACTCCTCGATCCAGTGAAGAATTCTCTTTTGAATCCCGTAAGACCCGAGTTTGTGAAGTAGTGGGTTGTGTGGTACTCGAGTGAATACTCTTGAGACGCCGAAAAACATGACTTATGATATGAGTCCGTCGTCCATCACTGCCCTCCAGGAAGTGGTTTCCAGGACTCCAGCAGTGGTAGCTACCTGATACTCCGGGTTCAGGTGGTGAGCTAAACCGTGAGAAATCTGTGCCATATTTGAACTTCCCCTTTTCTGCCGAACTGAGTCGCCTTTTTCGTGGCTTGTTGCTTTTCAGTTACCAAGATGATGGGAGTGAACTTTTGACATGAACCTTTGGAAATTAGGCTACAACCTGCTTCTATGTTGCTTCAATGGGATCGCTGATATTCACAGTAGAAAATCAGCGAAGAACATCAAAAATCGCCCTTCTCAGTGAATATGGAATATGCCAAATGAGGAGTGGAAGAACCATCACCCCAAAGACATGAACCCGAGAAAATGTTTCCAAAGTTCTTTATCTAAGTTTGCTACTTTTATCGCTGTACCCCGAACACCATGACACAAATTTTAGGAGCTTGAACGCCGGTGCTATTCGTGTAGATATCGACGCAAATTGTCTTTGAAAACTGCAGCTTCTCGTGTTTTCGAATGATAAAATGTGTCCATGCGTCACTCGCAAGATTTGGTACATCATTGTAATGCGCGGTTAGAATGCTTCGGAAAATATCAACAGTAACGTCAGCGAAAAAAATCAGGTGTCTTGCCACCGTCAGCCTGAATTTCTGATTCATCCACGAAAATACCATAAGGTGGATGTTGTTTACCTTCTCATGATGTGATGCACCTAAATCAGTACTCCATGTGTGGAGTTCCAAAACTCATGGAGCCCTCGTCAATCTACCTCACAAATGACTCACATACAGCGTTCGATAAGTTATCGAGATTTGTAGCTTGCTCCATACAGGCAAAAAATTTTGCACGACTGGTGGCCCTAATCTCTCTTTTTATGTACCATCATCTTTAAGGCTATAGAGTTTCCCGCCGTGCATAGTATTGCATATTTCAACCTCTGGCTGTATGTGATCCAGAGGCCCAACATGGCTATCTTCCATTTTAACTACTGCCCGGTTTACAGCTGCACGGATCCAAACTGAGTCAAAATTACCTGTAAATTGTATTGGTCCGACTCTACCGGTTTCAATCCTCTCATCTAAATTTAATCCAGGAATGCGCTACCCTTATCCGCTTTTTGCACATTCGACGTCCCTTGTGTGGCCTTCCGGAACCTCAGAACACCCAGTGTGACAGTGCGTTAAAGACACGGCGTTGCCATACCCAGTGTGATGGTGCTTTCGCAAATATTCTCTTCCTACACTTGACAGTCGGCTATTGCCTACTCAGACCTTTAATTTTAACAACTAACCGCTTTTTTACCCGGCCCAAACCGCCGCCTGGATGAGTTCTTTCTAACACGTTGAACCCATCATCCGAATCAAACCACCCCTTTTCCGATTATACTTTAGCTCGCTTCTTTCACGAAATCCAAGATCTTACTTGTGATGCCCATTAGGCCCTATTTAGTGGCATTACCGCATACCCGCGAATATGATTTACATTTGACACCTCTTCAACGGTGCCACCAGTGCGTCTGCACAATTTCAGTGTATACTACGTTTTTGAGGAAAGACTTGCCATCGTCTTAGTTGGACTTTCTCTATCTCTTCAGACAGCTCTGTGCATTCTGTGACCCTGAATATTTGCCCCATCGTCAAAGGGTTTTTAAATTTTAATCCCAGTTAACCGGCTTCATTACTGAACTGGTCATACTTCATGCCCGAATTTTCCATTACTTCTTGTTCCCCCTTTGCCCAGCTGAAAACACTGACAGTAATTGCTCCAACCGCAGCGTATGGCCATCATCCACTCAACCTGGCTAGTCTCAAAACCATAATCACATAGTAATCAAACATGATCGAGATTTTTTGTGGCTCTACGTAGGCCTTGCTCCGCCTGCGTCACTCTTCCACCCTAACCCAAATCAAGCCGCCACAGGAATACACAATTCCTGTCCGATTATCTCAGCCTCGACGTCCTTTACGGAGTTGTCCAGATCTTGATGTATGTCAGCGCAATGACGGCATGGTACTGCCATAGCCAGTCTGATAACACCCCCGCAACAATTTTCCTTTTCCTCCAACAGTCACCTCTCGCCTACTTGAGGCTATGATTCCAGATACAAACAAAACTCTCACCTGGTCACAAGGGCCCTCGCAGCAAGTTCGTTCGCACCTGCTACAGATTTTGTTTGGATTCAACCAACCTGGTTTCCTGGTGAGATTTCGGTTCGCCCCTACGGCAAACACTTTAACTTATGGCCATCGTTCAGCCTCATGCTACAGCACAGCCTCTGCCAAAAATTTCCGCAACTGACTCATCCACAACAGCAACATCATTAAATCTACTTAGCTGCAAAGTAAAACATTTTTCAGACGAAAATTGCTACTTATATCCACTTCAGTTTCTTCCGCCTCCATCTCCGTCTTAGTTTTTTGTGACCCTGCCCATTTACTCAGCTCCCAAAGTCGCTCACTGCCAGCAACGATTTTTCTTTTTTCATTTCAAGTTCACCAGAAAAAATCGTGACTCCTGCCTTATTTTACTAAAATTTCGATTCAAAAAATACCGTGACCTTCCACCTACTCCGCATCTTTCGCTGGATATGGCTTCCCCAAGTTGGGTCGTTGTGGCGACCTAATTGTGCCTTGATTGTCACGTTTCCCATAAGTTTGGAAGTAGGTCTATTCTTATTACATATCGCATGGCAACCATGTCCCTTAGGCTGTCTTTTCGCCAATTTTTCTTCCAAATTTTGGTTGTAACTTCTCAAGCATGTTTTAATCGACATGCTCCATGTGAGTTGGGAGATAAAATTTACTATTATTACTACATAATACTGCATGGATTGTTGATAAATTTTTGCTCCTTCGTTTGACGCCCTCGGCCCGAGTTTGAAGGGAACGATTTCAAATTTAAAGCGTGCATATATGCTAACGTTCTTCATCCAGGTCGGGCAATCCGGGAAGTTTATGCATGCTGTGAGGTTCACGGTGTATGTATTGTCCACATTCACATCACTCTCGTTTAAACAGTAAAATGGTAGTAAAACTTTCACCCCATAAGTCAAGTGTCCGGAGCCCGAACATCGGCATGGCCATTAGATATGCACTGTTGATGGGCTCTAATAAGAATAAAATTCCAGTCCAGTGCTCCTCTTACCTTTGGTGTGGCTTCAACAGCATAATTGCGCCAGGACAGTATGACGTCCGTTCAAACGAGTGATGTGAATGTTAAGCTGCGAGGGTCACATCAAAAGCTATGTTGAAGACTGCAGAAAGATTGTAAAGCCACTGAACTCTAAAAATCCACATAGTCTTGGAGTAGGAGAACGACAGCATAACGGATTAGGTGACTTCCGTCATCTGGAATCCATTATAGAGGGCCAGGAGTTACCTAAAATCCGCCCTATGCAGTTTGATGGTCATCCCAGGAGCCATTGGAGGTTTATGAATCAATTCGGGCTTTACGTCGAATCAAGACCCAAGACCAGGGAAAGAGGCTCGTACGCGTGCTCCGGTGTAGCCAGGGAGGCTATCGAAGATTGCCTCATGCTTCAGCCTGCGGAAGGATATGAACGTGCCCGCCGAATTCTGCACGAGTCTTTTGGAAGGTCTCGTGTGGTTGCTAGAGCCCTGATAGATGATCCCTTTAAATGTTGTCGTTATACCTCGTGCAAGGCAAGAGATCTGACTCAGTTGGCCTTCAAGATGCAGAGCTGCAAAATAGCTCTGGCTTACATAAACTACAGTGCAGAACTGATTTCCCTGGAGAATTTAGGTAGGTTAATGAGGTGCTTGCCCAATACTTTACAACACAAGTGGGCGGAATTCGTTTACCAAGCCACTCATGATCGGGGAGAGCCAACCTTCGCCGACCTCACACAGTTCGTTACTCAAAGGGCGAGAGTGCTAAGTAGTTGTTACGGCCCTCTTGCAGAATCCGTCACGCAAATGGACCAAGGTGTACGTGGCCAAGCTGTTACAGATGTAGGCAAGAGCAGGACCGCTTGGAGTCATGCGATCGTTCGCTCAGATCAGGCCCCACTGTTGAGCGAGATCGGTCGTAAACACCGTATCAACAACTGCGAGCGCTTTCTGTCTTTCGAGCCAGTGGAAAGATGGTCCACCTTAAAGTCTCTCAACGCCTGCTTTCGGTGTCTTGAAGGCGGCAACAAAGCAAAGGACTGCCAACTGCAATATCGATGTGGAGTAGATGGATACTGAGCCAAACACCACGCTCTGCTACATTCGAAACCACTAGATAAAAAAGCAGAGTTAGTTCCTGTAGTCAAAAGCAATGCAATGACTGACCGCAAGACGGCTGTTTCCCTAGGACTACTTCCAGTTCGTCTGAGAGGTCCTTCGGCAGAACTGATCACGTATGCCTTCTTAGACAGTGGGTCCGATACAACTATTGTGTCATAACTTGCTGCACCAACTCGGCATAGCGAGTCATCAAACGCCGCGTGAAATACAGACAATCAGTGGATCTTGTTTAGCAGTAGGAGACTTTGGAAGCTTCGAGATGTGTCCACTTCACGGTGACGAGGTTGTTTTAGTGAAAGGTGCTTCAGTAGCATCTGGAATCCTCCCATCATTAGTCGTAGACTCAGGCTCGGAAATTGCAAGTCGCTGGGTTCACCTGAAAGAACTGCTTTTTGAGGATATTCCGTCTAAATCGGTTGGTATACTTATTGGCTGTGACGTTCCAGGAGCTCACTGGGTGCTAGATCAGCGGTTGGGAGGTCAAAAAGAGCCATTTGCCGCAAAGACACCGCTGGATTTGGTTATTTTTGTGCCACTGGGACCGGTTAACCGTCAGCTGCCTGTCGTCAGCGGAGCCATCATTGGAGGGTCAACTCCGGTCTTTATACGATGCCGACTTTGCGGAAATTGATTCACTTCGGAAAACTCCATCGGTGGAGAACAGGCGAGCGGTAGAATAGGTGGCCGCAGGAATTTAACACTTCAGGGGGGATTTGTCGTACCGCTCTTTTGGAAAGCAGACCGACCTACTGGTTCTTCGAACTTTTCGGCAGCCTTGTCACGACTGCACTCGTTGCGAAGACGCTTCCTGCATGACCCAGAATACTTCGAAGCATACGCAGACGTCATCTCACGGAATCTCGAGAAGGGCTATGCAGTGCCGGTTCCCTCTGAGCTGGTAACACTACAATCAGCAGCAAGATGGTACCTGCCGCACCACGCAGTGTTGAATCCCAGAAAGACTGGAAAAATGCGAGTCGTATTTGACTGTGCAGCTAAGCACCACGGAAGATCGCTGAACGACATGCTTCTCCAGGGACCAGACACAACTGCTGACTTGGTGGGAGTTCTTTTGAAGTTTCGAAGAGACCGGGTTGCTGTGTTGGCAGATGTCGAGGAAGTGTTCATGCAGGTCCATGTACCGCAGCCAGATCAAGGTCTCTGATATTTCTGTGGTTCCCCCAGAAGGATTTTCATAGTGAGTCTATTGAATAGCAAATGGCCTCTCATGTCTTCGGCGCCGTCTCTTCTCCGTTCTGTGCCAATTTCGCTCTAAGACGAACAGTGTCTGTTTTCGGCGGGGATTACGACGACCGAATCAAATCGTCTGTAGTAAACAACTACGTAGACGATTGCTCGGTGTCAGTACCTTCAGTTACTGACGCAAAGAGGTTTGTGCAAGGAATAACTGATATATGTCCAAAGGGGGTTTCACCTTCATAAGTGAGTGAGCAATTTCCCCGATGCACTGCAAGGGCTCCCATCGTCTGAACAAATGTAAGCTGTAGTGGAGATGTCCCCAAAGACGATGAATACACAGCGTTCGTTGGGCATTGAATGGGATCCATCTTCTGACATCCTTTGTTTCCGGTTTCACATTCCCGAGAAACCACTAACGCGAAGAGGAATCCTAGCAGCTGTTTGCTTGCTCTTCGAACCACTAGGGTTGGTATCCCCTGTATACTTAACCGCGAAACAGCTGCTACAGAAACTTTGTAAGGCCGGTCTGGGTTGCGACTCTCCTGTCAGTGAAGACCATTTAATTCGGTGGCATTCTTGTTTAAACTTGGTCAAGTCGATGGGAGTTGTGCAGTACCCGACATGCTTGCACCCTGACAATTTTGTGGGTGTCTGTAACCCTGAGCTCCATGTACTCTCAGACGCGTTGGAAACAGGTTATGGCGTCGCTGTATGTGCACGTTTTGTGTCAAACGATGGTCGAGTGGCATGCCGTTTGATTTTCGGAAAATCCGGAGTTGCTCCCTGTAGGACCGTTACCGTTCAGAGGTTGGAACTTGCTGCCACCGCATTAGCCACCAGGGTCTATAAGCTACTTATTGAAAGCTTACCCAACTTCTCCGTGGCCATTCTCTGGACGGACTCACAGATAGTGCTTTATTACATCAAAAATCAGGCTGCAAGATTTTGTACCTTTGTAGCCAATAGGCTAGCCATCATTCAAGAATGCTCCTCACCGAGCGAATGGAAGCACGTGAAATCATCGCAGAACCCTGCCGACCTAGCGCCCAGAGGTATTATAGTATCGAACGATTTGAGCCGCTTGATGTATGGACCAGAGTTTATCAACGAACCGAAGATTGTTGTGTCACCTTTGCCCCCTCTCGGATACTCGATGTCGTGGAGCTGAAAACGAGCCGAGCAACTATTGCCGTTATTTCTGCTCGAAGTGTGTCCGGGCGTTTGTTTACCCGATGGTCTAGCTGGTTTGTGTTGTTGAAATCAGTTGCATGGTTGAGGCGCTCCATCCACTGCATCATGCACAAATTAGGAAGGTCTGTCGTATTGCCATTTGTAGGTCACCTACAAATGAAAGAAATGACAGAAGCTCGGGTGGTCGTCACATGAACTATATGTCCATTTATCAAGTTTCACCGCCACACTGACGACCCATTTTAAGCTGATTTTTGAATCTTTGTATGTTTGCTCTACAGCTTGTAGATGGGAACCCAAGGCCACTGAACATAACTAAGCAGCCCAAATCGGGAAGTCTGAGCGAAAGCCACACCCGCTATCCAAGTTTTTGCCGGCTGTGATAACCACGCTAGTACAAACTCAAAAGCCATTCAATTTTCCGATAACTGAACTGGGTCCAGATCTAAGGCGGGCCGATCATTCCAAATAGAAATATACGGTCATCTAACTTATGCTGTTTGATCAAAATTTGTTTCACTGCAAATTATTGCACCAAGGCCTGAGCCGTTACCATCAGCCAAAACGGACACTCATACTTCTGTACAACCTCTTAACTAACCGTAAATGTATCTCTTGAACGCTATTGGCAGGCTTCTGCCCAAAGAACACCCCGAGGCCTGATCGCCCCATATTTCAACGTGTGGTGCACAAAGTGTCTGTGCGTTTTGCGATTTGGCCAACCCTAACGGGATCGTCCTTCCTGGCTTTGTGTTCTTGTCTATGGAGCAACAATCGCAACTCAACTGACGTCCATGAGAACATCAGGAAGATAATGACCACCGGGCCACAAGTTGGGAGTAACCCTTATTATTATTACCTTATGCCTGGGTTTACCATAAATTACAAGCTTCAGTAACGAAATTCAATGTGTTTCTTGGAGCCCCGTCTCTTGCATGGAGAAATCTGTAGGTCAATCATCCGTACATGCGTCCCTAGGGCC